CAAACTGGAAGTGACCCAAGTGACCATTAACAGAACACAAGACAACATGGATGAACCTCCCAGAGAACCCAAACCATCTGTTGCCCCCAGTCACATGCGTGTGCACACACACACACACACACACACACACACACAAACACACACAACTTAAGCACTGAAGACTAAAACCGAAACTGCTCCTCAGCTACATGAAATGATTTTCTCAGTCCATACTCTTCGTGAGGACAGTTTTCCTGTTCCAGGAGACTCTTGTCCAGGCGAATAACTTCATTATTCACTATTGGAACTTCCTGAAAGAGCCATCTTCTCTTCAGTAGAAGACATCACAGTTTATAGCTCAAGAGTTTTGAACCCCTTAAAAAAAATAGACACAGAAAAGAACTTGCTTTATGCATAAATTTATGTAAAATTCGAGAACACATTTATGGAGATAGAAAGCAGAGTTATGGTTGGTGAGGGTGTGTCRTGGTGTGTGGGTTGCACATTACCTGGGAAAGACATGACGGGGTGGCCAAGGGACTGGAACTATCCCAAATCCTGATCTGGATAGTGGTTATGTGGTGTAAATATATATAAAAATTTACCAAGCTGTATATTTTTATGTGCATTTATGATATGCAAAAAGGTAATGTATTAGGAAGGGTAAAATGTGATAGGTTCCAGCAATTATTAGAGAGCTGTGTTGGCTTGAGGATCCTACTTTAGTCATGACTGCCTCAGGTGGAGTGGAGTTGGCTATGTGGGAGATCCCAGCCCACTATGGTTTTGCATGGTGTGCTGTCTGAGAGAGGAGGGGCCACTGCAATTGGCCCTGAGCCCTGCACCAGAAGCAAAGATATCTGAACACACGTAACAGAGAGGGGTGTGGTGAGAATCAGAGCAAGTGGAAAGTTCCCTAGAGGCTTCCAGCGGCAGGAGGCACCTGGCGAATGCAGAAGAATGCAGACACCTTGAAACAGCGTCCATGGGGAATTGAGCATTGCTCCTGTATAAAAACGCTGTGAGAAATGTGCCCTCAAAGGGAGCCACCTCTCTATTCTAAGGATTTAGCTGTGGTAGTTGAGGTTAAACCAGAACTGTCCACACAGTTCACAGGGATGGTGTGGAGAAGTGGTTTGGGTTCTCATAATTTGTAAAAATCCATCCAAGTTGTCTCATGTATCAGTAATTGGCTCTTTTTAGTTGCTGAATACTAGAAAAATCTGTGTGTGTGTGTGTGTGTGTGTGTGTGTGTGTGTGTGTGTGTGTGTGTAAAGGGGGTGGGTCAGAGAGGGAGAGAGAGACTGATTTCAGGGAAGTAAACCTAAACTTGAGCTCCAGAAAAACCTAGCAGTCTTCTTTAACTGCAGTAATTCAAATAAGTATCTAAACCAACCCAAACTCATGCACACCAAAACTTTAATGTTAAAAGAGAAGGAGTAATTTGTACCAGCTTAGTGTGGGTGGCAGTTTCTCTTCTTGTGAAGGCACGTTGGGGTCATTTYCCTAAAGAAGTTGGACCAAGTCCTTTATTTTTGCTTTAACCCTCCTTTTACCTTAGAATAGGACAACCAGGAAGATTGAGGCTTTGCTACCAAAAGCCCTGATAAAAGGCCAGCACACAAGGTAAAGCTCTGAGTAGAAGCCACACACTCACTTCACTCAAACCCAAATAAAAGTGTGGCCCTTGCAACGCTGTCAGCCTGCGGGGCACSTGCTTTGCCCGCCCCTCCCTCCACCCCATTTCAGGTGTGACCCTCCAGTGTCTGGGCAGAATGAATCTTCTGTCTGAGAGGAGAACAATGGCTCCTCACACACCTGGGAGTCTCTTTAAAGACCGTGAACTGCTTCCTGAACAATTTGGAGCCTGAATATTTTCTCATTTTTGTTTTCTTTCCAAAAGTACTATGCCTTTATTATGTAAACTTCAGAAAATACAGGTATGAATTAAGAAAAAAATCACCTAGAATCTGTTCAAATTATATCAAGTATGTATATTCAAATCTGCATAGACAGAAGCCCATCTTTTCTCTGTTGAAAAGCCTTCTCTTTCATGGATGGTATGGTCAACATTATTTACCTTAATTCATTATTTACCTTTATCATTTCATTGTACTGACTACTTTCTATCAAAGCAATTCCTTGCTGTCAGACATTTTGGTCATTTTTTCTTGGTATCGTAAACAATACAGCCCATAATTATCCCTGGAAGCTGAACTACTGAGATCATCCTTGATTATTGTCTTAAACTTCTAAAAATAATAATTAAAAAAACTGGGTAAAACTGAGGTATGGACTTTGTAGATTGTTGATACACAGCACCAAATTGCTGTTCTGAAAAGTTACACCAAATTCCACACCTGTTCCCACCATGAGTAAATCCAGGAGATCTCACACACATAGAAGAAATTCAAATGGCAATGAAGGTAATGTTCCATCGGTTTTCTTAGATTTTAAGAGATTTCTTTCATGCGGGTTGTTATCTGTGAATTTGGTAACTATGGTGAATAGACATTCAGAGGCCAAGAGTGCTACTGAAATGATTCAGATTCTACAGTAATTTGTATTGATTTTATGTTGCTGAGTAAGAGTGAGCTGTTTCAGAACAATTCCGGAGGGAGTTTCCAGCCAAACTGAGAGATCTAGAATATTTCAGACCAGGACATAAGGCTATAAACAGAACTTTACAAGGCTACATGGTAATGTGTGCAAGCTCTTTCCTCTGGACAATTCAATGTCTATTAAAGAATTTACAGACCAGTGGAAACTCTGAGTCATATGCTCTGGGATAGGGTGATAGAGAGTCCCAGGGGTCTGTCACAGCTCCCAGTRGGTGGGTGGAGCATCTGAGTTTTAGTGTTGGACCACGAGAAGACTCCTGCTCATGGGGCAGAGGTGGGGGGTGGTGTTGCAGAGGGAGGAGGCAGAGGGGAGGGTGGGAAGGGCACAGGTCTACAGGTTAGACTGACCTGGATACAAACCACAGATTCTGTTTGCTAAACATGAGGTCTTGGGCAGATAACTTAACCTTGCCAGAGTATTTAGTATCAGTATTTTGTGTCGGCAATATTTTTGCTCTGTAAAAAGAGAGCAAAGAGAGATTTTAGTGAAATAAAATGTGTAAAAACTAATTACAATAACTGGCCTATTGAAGGAATTCAATAAGAATTGCCATTATTACCACAATGATTAATAATTATTATTTCCACTTCCTTTAAGGATAAATTTAGGTAAAAATGGTCTCTAAAACTGGTTGCTATGCCCTTTTTCTTTCTTTTAGGATTCTCTCTTTCAAAATAGAGCTCCCTAAAAACCCACCCATAGACATCTTGCTGAGGGCAAGGAATAGAATATGAATAGAAAAAGAAAGGATGTTATTGATTTTTTTCTAATGGCTAACCAGATTTAGGTATTTCCTTTAATCATGATTTTTATGCAACAAACCAAAATAGCATCAGCAATACTGATTGCACTTTGATCTATAGGATAAAATTTATGGGTGTGTTTTATGTCTTCTTGGAAAGAAATTTATGTTTTCATATCACATTTAAGTTGCTGTTGGAATTTCAAAATATCTTTTTACTTGCAATTGCATTTCAAAAGCACAGTGTGTTCTTAGATGGATTCATTAGATAGCAGCTATAACACACTCTGCCTACAAAGGTGAAGTGATAGAGCTGTCAGGACAACTACAGTATAATCATGAAAGAACATTTGGATAGAATATCCTAATATGTTGGTTTGCTTTGTAATCCTATGTAGCTTATGTATTTATAAACTTTTTTTTTTTTTTTTTTTTTTAGGGAAAGTTTGTAGCCTTCACCAGACTAACAGAGGGACACAGCACAACCAGGTTAGCAGCCTCTGTCAGAGGCCACCTGGGGCATGTGGCTGGCAGGAAGAGCCAGCTGATTAATAGTCAGAGAAGCTCTCTATTAACTGCTGTCTGCTGCCTATGGCAGTGGACATCTAAAGCACACCATTCCTGGAGACAGGCCAGGGGATCCCGTCAAGTTAGAAAAACTAACTGTACAGTAAGAAAGAAAATGTCTGTTGCCTTCCCCAGGTGTCTGATATCTGTAGCATCCGGGAGAGAAGAAAGTCATCTCACAGGGACGGTGACCTCAAGGGATGGCACAGAGATGACAATTTCCAGGTAGTAGAGGAAAGCAGAAGAGGGGTTGAGGAAAAGAAAGTGACATTGGGAAACCAGAGAGCAGGATGCCTTCAGCAACAGGGATCATGCAACCTGCAGACTGGGAACTAGTAGTAGACAGACTGGAGTGGTGGGACACAAGGCTAAAGGAATCATTCTATAAACTGGGTCCACTGTACTGACCCCTACATGCTTTCTTTTACAAGAAGCAATTTACCTGCAGCCCTGGCTTAAGTGAACGGGATATGTCACATTCCTCAGCAAACCACCTGTTAACTGCAGGAGAAATGCAGGCCTGAGATAATGTTGATAAGAGGAACCCAATTACTCTACCAGGGAAGCCTTTTCATAGACCAGATCCTAGAACTTAGGGAGAGAAGGATAATTCCTCCTAACCAAAAAAAAAAAAAAAAAAAATCTGTAAGGCTTTTTGGTAGAATCCATTTAGAATCTGTCAGCAGAGGACCCAGTGACCTAGAGTTGTCATGGCAATGGGGACTTGAAAGTCAGATGTCATCCTGCTGCCGGTCGGAAGACAAGAGGTGACCTGGATAGAACTCCAGAAACTTCTCTGGGATCCCCAATAAAACTGGAATGCAGGTGAGGCACGCTGTCCCTCTCCTTTCTAAGAGGACCCACTCTCTTCCTTGAGAGKGGCCCCCTTGCCTTCTCCGATCTTCTAATAAACTTATGCCCATGACTCTGAGTGACATGTCGGAAATCTCTCTGACTTGATCTCAAGAATTGGGGCTTGACGGGGGAGGGGGAAGGCCTCAGCCCTGTAACAGGAACAAGAACCAGAAAGAAAAAAGGAGGAACTTTAAGGACCACAAAACAAAGCAACAACAACAAAATGGTAGCAAATACTTTATTTCATCAGGGACATTGCATTTGGGGAGTATTTCCTGTGGCTCTCAGTCTGAGCTCCTCTCTCCCATCTCCCCATGATGTGGGTCAACTGCTTTTCCGTCTCCCATCTTTCTTCTTGTCTGATGACCCAGGCCAGAAACTCTTTAAACACAGAATCCTCAGTACTTGTCTTTTAAAGGACAAAAGCTTTTCACGTGTCAGAAAAGCTTCAGATCTGTGGTGCTCACAGAACCAGCAGAGCCACGTGGTTTGGCTTATTCATTTGAGTCAAAGCATTCTCAATGGACTCTCGTGATCGGGCAAGTACTGGTCTCCCTCAGAACAGGAAGCAGTTCAAAAGGCCTCTTAGTAGACATCTGGGCATAGCGATGGGAAACACCATATAAACAGCGAAAAAAAATACATCTTTTCAGGTTGCTGGGTTTCTTCTTCATCTTAAAAAAAAATCTAGACATCTTTCATTTAAACACACACACACACACACACACACACACACACACACACACACACATAAGCAAATGTAATGTGCTTTTATCCTAAACGTTACAGATTTAACCTCAGATATGCTGAGGACCATCACTCAGTCTGTAAGTTACCTCCAGAGCATAGTTCGTTTTCATATTAAAAAAAAAAAAAGTTTAAGTTCAAACACTGACATCATGTGAAGACGCCAGTTTTTATACACCTTTATAAAAGTAGAATATGCAGAGTATGATACACTGGTACAAAGTTTTACAATAATACAAGTAAAATATATAAATTACAATGAAATAGAGGAAGCCTGTGGTTTGTCTGGCTGGTTCTTTCAGCAGTCATATCGCTGTAAAGAAAAGGAAAGATGCATTAGTTTAGGATCAGGGCACACGAACAATGGAGATTCTCTTCTTTACATTCCTGTTTGAGCAAACACAAAACAATCATCTCAACTTCAGTGGAACTTCAGCTAACCACTGCTAGGGTGTAGACAATGCCCATGACAAGTTTCCTAAACAAACAGGCCCCATTGTCTTCCCCAGTAAAGCTGCAGAAAGTGCTCATGGAAACCATGAGGTTTGTGTGGGGCTCTCCTTTTAAGGATTTAGAAGATAATGTCATGGGAATGTCCCACTGAAAACTCAGTGTGGGTAGTTTTCTAAGTTAGGAGTTTCATGCCTGAAGCTCCTGGCTATCAGTTTCCTGGCCTGGCAGTTTAGCAACGCTAACCATAAGTGCTAAGGATGTGGTTTCACTATCGGCTTGCTACAGCAGAGCACCCCATCCTGTAGGCATTGCTATCAGATTCTTCAAGCACGCCGAGCTGCTCATAGCTGCTAGCTGCAACTGTAAACTGAAAGTTATTCCAACAGGTAGCCTTTCAAATTAAATGCTACCAAGTTAGCAACCCACTGTTCTACACGAAAGCCCTGTGCTTTGAAAGTATTTTTGTCTAATTACAAGCTAAGGGATCTGGTGCAGTGTCTGGGGAGAAGCCCCTCCTACAGTGCAGGATGGAAACCCAGTGTCTTTGCCTAAGTTAGGGAAAATGTCACCTCCTGCCAAAACAACCACCAACTGACTTCTTAYGCCTGTCCTCAGTGCCAGGATTCACCGACTTTAAACTCTGCTTCCTTGTGAAATTYGAGGCTAAAGAAAGGTCCATCCGAAGTCCCAAGAGGATTCTTTTCTGCAGCCCCCAATGTTGTGTCCTGAACACAGCCCACACCCAAAGGGTGTCCCACTCAGTTGTTTTCCTGGAAATTTGGCAGGATCTCAAAGAAATTATTAGTCCCACTGTGCTTGCCTGATAAGGAAAACTAGATTTTTATTTTAACTTCCCTTCAAAAATTATAGAAAGTTTCCATTTATTTACAACCAAGGTTTTCATGGTTGCAATGAACTTTCAGTTTTAATTAGGTTTTTTGTCTTATTTTAAAAGAAAGTTAAGCGAACYGGAAATAGAAGAGAATGGTTTGGAATATATAAATGAAATAAGGGTCAGTTTAACCAGAATCCCATTTCACAGACTAGGACCTAAAAGAAACTCTCCCCAAAATTAGACCGAAGCTTGACTTTTATAAATTCAATGGTATATATTTTTCAGGAGAATATAGAAACAAGAACTTTCCCCTGCTTCAAAGAAATGCATATTTCTCTCCTAAATCATATCCCCAGGAAACAAGTGCTTCCTGGTTTTCTTTCATGATGAAAAGTTTTTTATAGCTGCTATTCAAAGGCTGCTAGTACCTGGCTGCTCATGTACTTTTGTGACTCCTTGTTAGGAAGGAATGGTATAAAATCCAACAGGATAGTGAGCATAGTACCCGGTTAAGAGCAAGAGTTGTGGTTCAAGATGACCAAGGGTTTGAAGCCTGTTACTTCCTGACTAGGTCACCTTAGACATATTACTTAATCTCTGAATCAGAGTTTCATCTGAAAAGTGGGTTGAGTAATGAATGTGGCCTCTTCCTCACGTGTGCCAGTTGGGAACATGAGAGCGAGCAAAGAGAGGGTAGCCCAGACATCTCTTTTGTGTCTCTGCAACCAGAGCAGAGCGAGTGAAGGGAGCAATGGATTTGACCCTAAAGCAGGCACTGTGTCCATGGGCAGCGTGTTCCTGTGCACCTAGAGCTGACTGCAGAAATCCAACATGGCCCAGAGACCATGAGGGTCACGAAAGTCTGGGATTGAGAGCAAATGTCTTGGGTGCATTGCCACAGATGTGTTATAAGAACAAGTGCTGGTAGCCTGAGCAGATTTGGGTTTGTCTTTTCTCTTTGATGAAACAGAACAGTGCATCATAGGAATGGAATATACCAGGACCAGGCCAGGACATAGTCACATAGGTTCTTACCTGTTGGCGAGAGCAGCAATACCCACAGATGCCTCCAAGCACTCCATTTATTATTTGAATGAGACACAAGATGAATTCAATTCCACCAAGAGCCAAGAGGATAGAGAAGAGAGTTACATTCCACTCCACAATGTGCCTAGGCTCCCTGCACTGGGACCAGGTGGAGGTGTCCATCAGGTACCTGTGGGCAAGAGGGAAACTCTGACATGGGTCCACACCCAATGGGATAGCTCATGAGTTACTTTTTTAATGGTGGTTAGAAATCCTCACCCTATAATGATGTTTATATTCTCTAACAGACAAATGAATATTTGGAAACAAAAAATGCAAAATTGCCATGCTTAAAGCTATAAAACTCATGTATGTGTATAGATTGTATGGATGTGAATAACAGCAGATGTGGAAAAGTGAAAACACTTCATATATTAAGGTAGTACAATTACAGAGAATATACATATTTTTTTAACTCAGCTTTCCAAGTTGCTTAATTGCTGTCTATGTAAAAGGCAATTGAGTTAATATTTATTTAGTTATTGAGTTTAGTAATGTAAAATATTAATATTGAGTTAATATTAATTTAGAAAATATGATTTCTTTACATTAGTTTTTTGGAACTTTAAGATATTGATTTTAATCATTTCATTAAAACATAATTTGTTTCTTCTGAGAATTAGCCAAGTTCTGGATAATTTTGGAGGCTTAATATGCTAGTGTTTGGAGGCTTAATATGCTAGAGTTTTCAACTGAGACATCATAAACAAAATTAGTTTTTGCTTTTAAGAAATAATTAATTTGCAGTGGGAAACACAGGTATTAAATCTGACCAAAGTGAAGCCTTTTCTTCACTCTCAAATGCTGTGCCCACACACTTAGAAGAACATGTAAGCACACTAAATTCAAGACAATAAGAATGATGGAGTTCTCGGTATAAGTYGCACACCAAGCAGGAGGTGGGAATATGATGGGGGAACTTATCATGGGTTCTGTCCTAGGAGAATCTTGTGTCTAAGGGAAGAGACAAGTACTGGCAGTCTCAATGCCAAGTGCACTGACTAGTTACTCTCAAGGCACCTAACCTAGAGAACACCTAGGATGTACCTATTCAACAAGGCTGAGCAAGGTAGGAATTGGACCTATTTGGCTCTGTATACTCAGCTKCCAGAACAGTATCTAGTACATAGTAGGTACCGGACACATTTTTAAAGCAGCTAAGTGATAAATAACTGCCTGAAGTTACTTTGTGAAAAAAGGTCATCAAATTGTGCTGAGGTTCTTTCATTTTTATATATACATATATACCCATACTGATATTATTATATAAATGATTTCAGGCATTTTCTAATACCTGGATATTATTCCTGTCTGAAAAACCACCACAACAACAACAACAAACTACAGCTCTGATTACCTTCCCAGAATTTCAGCCTTTGCTACATCACAGAACATTTGGAGTCTTAATGAAGTAGGATTTAATCATGTGGGAAAATCAAGAATTGACTTAACTCCACAAAGAAGTCTGGTACAATTCTTTCCTTATCACTTCTTCCTGCCCCAGCAGAACAAAGCAGCTTGAAACTCAAGACATAACTGTGAAACAGCCCATTGAGTCAATCAGAGATTCAACTTACTGATTTAAAACAAATGCAAAAAACAAAATTCTGTCCTATCTCTGCCTCTCTACATCAGTGGAACAAAAAAAAAATCTGTATTTTCAGGTCACGACATCAAAAATTCCTTGGCTTCATTTGGCTACTGGGAAATGAAACCAGTGGTGTGGGACTGTTAGTTCCTCCCATATTGAAGTCCCTGGACAGGCTCAAATGAGGAGTGAGGCAGAACAAGAGCTTCTTGCAGAAGCTAGAGCAGATGTTGGGAGGGGCACATAAACAACTATAAAATTTGACCACTGGTACTCCTAGCTCTCTCTGCATTCCAACTGCACAAATCACAACTTTTTTTAAGAGTCAGTTTCATGCTGTAGTTTTGCATGTTTGCACAGACATGAGTGATCAATTTCCACTAGTACATTCAGTATGTTCTGAACAAGAATGGATTACATCAATGGCAATTTTGAAGACTAAAACTTAGAACTCCTGTAAGTGCCAATTTTCCTTCAGAGGCTACCTTTGTTTTGTGTTCATTGTGAGCWAAGTGAATAGCTAACACCTGTAAGGAACCAGCCTCTGTGGGAGCATGGCATGTATATTATCTCATTAATTCTCATTACAACTGCCACTGGTTTTATTTTACAGATGAAGGAATTGAGATGCAGAAAGGTCAGTTCACTTTTCCCTGTTTTTTGGAGAGAAAGTGTAACTAATTCTAAGTTCATGATCTCATGAAGGGGGGAGACATATACATATACATAGCATCACTAAATGCTATACAGGACAACACTCTCACCAATACTATTTTCACTCAGGAGTTCAAACCCCAAACTTTCCAAATTTAACTTTAAAAAGTTGAATCAGGAGATCAACTCAGGATCAACTCCTGCCAAGAGAAATCCGTGGCTCATTCATTACTACATACATCAGTTTCCTGTTTCTCTTCCTTTCTCCGTAAATGATCAAAAGGAGAGGCCAATGTAAAAACAATAGGAGCTCTTAAATCACTCTGATTTTAAAGCTATATGGCCTCATAATTTTAAATAAAGGGTACATCATATATAGTTCTGATATTGTGTGTGTGACTGTGTGCCAATGGGGGTGGGTGTAGGATCTGCCCTGGGTTTTATTAAATTCATATAGTTGCCAATCCTATTATATAAGGATACTGTAGCATTGTCTTATAAAATAGTAAAATGTATCGCATTTAATCGATATAATTTATTCTGGTACAACACAGGACCTATCTGAGCACAAGTCCTACAGCGGGACTGTCAGGTTCAAATACTGACTACCACTTCCTAGCTCTATTGCCTTGGATAAGTTATCCACCTTTCTGGGCCTCATTTTTCTCATCTGTAAGATAAGATTAATAGTGGAAGTAACACCAAGGGGTCATTATGAGGGCAAAATCCATGAATCTATTAAAAAGCAAGTAGAACGTCAGTAACTGGCCCTCCACCCTCCACAGGACACCTGTCGCCTGAACTGTGCCCATGTCAGTGTCAATCAAGGCTGGCTGGGTGGATGATGAATGGATACTTAGTGTGATGGGTTTGTCCCTTGATGTATGTGGTAAATAAGAACAGACTGTCGTGAACAGAACAATTACGTACTGTCCCTCGGTTTTGGCAAAGGTGTAGTTCCACTGGCCGAGGGAATCCTGACACAGGGGTCCTTCCGCGAGGCCCAGAGCTGCCACGATGACGCAGTAGCCGGACCCTGCAATTCCGATGAGAGCCGCTAGGACCGAAGAGAGCATCTAGGGAAGGAGGAACACAAGCTGTGAGCCTTGAGCCCCAGGGCCTGCCGCGGACGGATCCTGCCTGTGCCCGCCCAGCAGAGGACCTACCGCCCAGCAGAGGACCTACCGCGCATCTCTTGCCGCAGTTCTCCTGGCCACAGCAGCCGCAGCAGTCTTCCTCCTCCAGCCCGATGAAGACAAACGCCGGCAGGAGCATCTGCTCAGGAAGCAAAAGGAAGTCACTACTGTCCTCCCAGGTTCATGGGGGCAGTCCCAGCATCCTTTAGTAAAATGGATTTACTTCTGATGGTGTCAACTGGCTTTAGGTTGAGGATCTCAAAGAATGAAAGAGTCAGAGGAGAAACAAACTCTGAATGTAACATCTGCTGGTTTTCCTGTGATGCATCAAAGCACTTTTCAGGGGGCTGGGGTGGAGCTCCGATGGCCAGTGTGTTCACGAATTGAGGACCTGGGTTCCTTCCCCAGCTGGGGCTGGGGGAGCAAGCGAGGCTATAGAACGGAGGGGTAAAATATAACCTGTGTGCTTATTCCACAAAGGTTCATAACAGTTCCAGACACAAACTGTTTTGGAACCTTAAACCTTGTGTTAAAGTCTGACTTTTCCCCCCTAGTAAAACATAGTAGATACCCACAAATCCTTAATAGAATAACTGAAACTATTTTGTAAGTGGGACAGATGAATGCTATCTATAACAAATATGATCTACTTCTTTGAAGACACAAAAGGTACTGTTTTAGCATAACAATAAAGCTCTTTAAATAAGGTGAGGGGGCTGGGGATGTGGCTCAAGTGGTAGCGCGCTCCCCTGCCATGCTGCAGCCCCTGCCATGCCGCAACCCGGGGTTCGATCCTCAGCACCACATACAAACAAAGATGTTGTGTCCGCCAAAAACTAAAAAATAAATATTAAAATTCTCTCTCTCTCTCTCTCTAAAAAAAAAATAAGGGGAGTTTGAAATATTTGAAGTTTAAAGCAAAAATGTTACGTTACAGATTTTGATCCCGTTAATTCATATTAATTAAATTTGTATTAATGATTGCATGATAATAATGCTTAAACTCAAAGAAGATTTGGCCAGCTATAATGTCTTTTAGTGTCTTTTACTTGACTAAGAAAAATTATTCTGCATGGTATTAACACTTGCATAAAACTTCTCCTTAAAATTCTTAATCCCAGCATTTTGAAGTAACAAACTCAAGTTTGCCCACATTCTTTCCATGCTGAGGCTGAAGCTAATACTTTCAGCTCCTAGATTGGCAGGCAAATTCCTTTTACTTCAATAAAAACAGACCTTGGAAAAAAAATAACACATTCCACTATTAACTTCAGACTCTGATCTGCTAACTGTAGGATTTTTTTTTCTAGACACCACACCTCAGGAGAAAGTTTATATTCTTTCTTAATAGCAATGTACTCAATTCACTGTTTTTCCCCTGTCACATATGCCCAAGAATAAACAGCAGAGAATTTGGATCCCAAACTGTAAACTTAGAACCAGCCAACCCCTCCGAGCTCCCCAGAGCAAATGTTAACCACCCACTCTGGTGCCAGAAACTCCATGGTTAACTGAATATGGGTTTCCTAGCTGGAGAGGAAAAGAGTTTAACAACAACAACAACAACAACAAAATAGTTCACTTTCAGTTAAGATTTGTGAAATATTAATAATAATAATACAAGTCTACCCTGACCTTTTGCAATCTGTTTTCAAAAGAATGAACAAAACAAGTCATTAGACTTGGAAATATGCATGACAGAAACTTTCCATGAAAATAAGGAACACTTCTGATCAACAGAGAAATTCCTGAGCTTATGATAATTGGGAAGGACTTACCAGCACGCCCCCTCCCACGATGCCGGAAAAGAACCACACGAAGCGGCTGAGGTGGTCATCAGAGGCATACTTTGTTTCCCCATTGGGAAAATAAAGCAAAATATTAGCTACGATGCAGAGGACGGCTAGCCACACCAGAGAATGTCCGATGCATCGGGCGCACTTGCCATAGCACATGGTGGCGGCTGGAGCCTGTGAGGTTTCTGTCCCCCTTCTCCGCTCTGTCTTCAGTTGGTGATCCCCAAATCAGATGACAGCCCCCGTGTGTACAGAAAGCAAAAGCACTCCCCAGCCCATTCCTGCAACCTCTTAAATACTGGCAGTTCTTAGTCACCGGGAGGATGAGGTCCTTTGCTTTCATTGGTCCTGATTACAGGCTACCCTGSGGGTGGAGTGTGTGGAGGGAACGCCCTGCTCTTCAAATGAAATCTTGGGACAAGCGAAACCAGGGGCAGGACGTGAGAAACAGCTCCAGTCACAGGCAACAGAGAAAATGATTAATTCTCCACAAGGAATTCACTGTGCAACTCGTCCCCAGGATAAAGCATCCACAGGAAAGTCTAACTGAACTTTCCAGTAACTGCCAAGTATCCTCAGCGTGGCTGTCTGGGTTGAGACTGAAAGGCAGCAGGCTGAGACCCTCCTCCTCCCAGCCATCTGGACGACCTCCAGGCAGAGGGAGGGCTCCGTGCTCACTTGTACCTCTGTGCTGATTTAATTTGTGACCTGGGGCAAGTTTCCTGAGCTCTGAGCTCCCTTCTTTGTCTGTTAAAGACAAAGTGTTTTAAAATTACAGAGTAGCCTTCTTTCCTCTGTCCACAGCGAGCTCTGCAGGAGGGATCCTACAGCCCGGTCTTCCTGGACATCTGACTCCAGAAGAAATCTGCGCCACACAGAGGTGGCATCTGTCAACACAATGGGCTCAGGCACTTTTCTCCCTGAGTGTTGCTTTCAGGCAAAACCATGTTAGGAAGGGCCAAGGAAGGCCTCAGTGCTGGGGAAGGATAAGAGGAGGAGAAGAATGTAGGAAAGGAAGAGGAGGAGAAGAAGGAAGGAAGGAGGGAGGGAGGGAGGGCAGAAGGGAGGAAGGAAACAGACCAAACCGAAAAAAAAAGACTTGGCAAGGCTAATAGAACATGGAGTGATAGTGTCAGAACCCACCAACCAGGGTGTCCAGGGCGTGGAGGTGAACAGGTGATCCACCCAACTGGATCCCAGGACAAGATTTCATAGACTGCCCCCACCCCAAGGCAGAGACAAGCTGTGAGTCCCATGGTTCCTTGCAGATGTCAGGGTTGGACATGGAATAAATTTAGCCCTTGAAGAGCAGTGGTGACCAGGTAAGGCCATGACTGGAGGGGCCCTATTATCAGGACAGGAAAAACGATATAGAAGAAAAGATGAAAAAGGCCAAGGTGAAAAGTTGTTATTTCTTAAAGAAGGTGAGCAGACAATGTCAGATTTCCAGAAGGCATTTGTTCAATTTTCAACATGTACACAGCATCAACACAGTATCAAAGAGTGTCTGTGTCACAGCTGGTATCCCAATGGAGCTATTAATTTCTTTTGAAATCATGTTCCCTTTGTGATATAAGTAGATTATAAATAAATGTATTAGAATAAATGATAAAAAAAAAAAAAAAAAAGAAGGTGAGCAGAGCCGATGAATCCTGTAACTTAGGATACGGCCAGAGTCTGAAGGATTCAGCCTCAAACTAGAGAGGCAGGATGTGGACCAAATTTGATCGGCCTGGGAGAGCCCAAGAGGCGGTGTGGATGTGGACAGAGCATCCTGGCAGCGGTAAGACCATAATGTAGCCTGGCCTGAGGAAATAAATCAGCTTTGTCTTCAAATGCTTAAACCCTTACCTTCTTTTTTTCCCCATCCCTCAAGTCAGCAGGGCAGAGAGGAGGAGAGAGTGAGGGTCTCTAAAGAGACCCCCATCTCTGCTGTTTCTTCAATTTTGTGGCCTCAGGTGAGTCACTTACAGTCCAGGACCGTTTCCTCATTCCTAAAAAAGAGCAGGACTAGACAGAGCCACCTCACCACTTGTTAAGGGGTTCTTTATCGAGTTTGTGAGAATCTTCAATGATATTGATCCTCTCCCCAGAGAAAGAAATGAACATATATTCAAACAATCATATTTTTTCATTCTATTTCTGGGGGTTCCCAGATTCCCTGAAGCACAGTAGTGAAGTCTCTTCCACATTTCCCGAGGTATGTCCTGTCCTGTTGGGGGACCACTAGAACTACACATGCAGATTTGGGGCCCCGCCCTCAACATAATGAACAGGAATTTCTAGGTGGGGTCCAGTAATCTGCAAAACTGAAAAACATTCTCAATGAGTCATTTGTTCCCTGGTGTTTGGGGATCGCAACCCCAGGTAAGTATTATTTGTACTAGATTTTCTAGGAGGCTGTGCCTGCCTCCAATGGTTGCCCAGATCCGGTCCACATGYGGTGAGGATGCAAATTGTGTTGGGGACACGCTGCAATTTTAAGGTTGTATGTAAGGAATTTTCAGACTTGAACTGACAGAATTCACTCATAATGAGGAGTCCCTTCTCCTTACCCACCCTACTGTCCTTCTGTGAAGCACCCTTTGCTTCTGCCCTTCTAATGATCACCTCACCCTGGAAGAAGCAAGGTCTTTTTCGGTTTGGCTCCTGGCTTATCTGAAATCCCAAACTTCCCAAATCTGGAACTCGATCCTGGAAGGGATGCCACAAGTGGAAAATTCCACACCTGACCTCCTATGACAGGTTGCATCAAAACAGAAGTACACTGAAAATATTGGATACTATTATCTTAAGCTATGTGTGTAAGTTACATGGGAGATAAAAGTGAATTTTGGATTTAGACTTGGGTCCCTTCCCCAAGAGATATCATTATGTATATGCAAATATTCCAAAATCCAGGTTACTTCTGGTCCCAAGTATTTTGGATAGGGGATACTTTCTCAAAGACACTCTCCCTGAAGACCTATATGATGCTCTGCCGCCACCAGTTACTCTCTAGTACATTGCCCTGGTCTGTAGTTATCACAGAGTTTATCATTCCCTGAAATTATTCTATGTATTCATTTGCTTCCTTTTCTGTTTCTGTCTCCCCTCCCTTCTGATGCAATTCCAGAGTCTTCTGCCTTGCCCACCATTGTTTCCCCCCATGATAGGAGCTCAGTAAATATTGTCGACTTGTCGAGTGAATAATACAAGGGAATCAGTGTGCTGTTAAACCTCCTCTTACCAGGCCGATGGCTCATTCCCTCCACCCTCAATTCTGTCGCACCTCTTGGTGAGCTCAGAATCTCATTACAAAGTCCTCGTAACTGCTCACACTGTTGCTTCCAGGCCTTGCCACTGCCAGGCTATTTGTTTTAACTGGAATTCTTAATCACTGTGTACCTCAATTACTATCATTCATTTACTCACCAGTACTTATTGAATTCCAATTAGTTTTATATTTCCTAAGTGCTGGGAATGCAGCAATAAACAAAACAAAACAAAACAAAACTCTGACTTTAAGGAATGTCTACTTGTTACCTTTTGAATCTGGAATATTCCCCCAAGAGCTCATGGATTGAAGGTTGGTCCCCAATGCAGCAATGTCCAGAGGTGGGACTTTGGGAAAGTGACTGGATTGGGAGGGCTCTAATTTAATCAGTAGACTAATTCACTTGATGGATTAATAATTTGGATGGACTACTGGGAGGAGGAGAAAAGGTAGGCAAGGGGGTCATGGTTGGAGGAAGTAGTTCACTGGGAGAGCTCTTGGGACTATATCTTGTCCCTGGTCCCTTCCCCCACTCCTCTATTTCTCTCCACTTCCATCCTTTCTCTCAAGCAAGGTGTCTGCTCCATTTATGATACCTTTTATTTACTTTCCTGAAATTCCACCCCTCTAGTACATGTTAGATCCCTTTGCTGTCTTTCATGACAAAATGTTAAATACTAGAGTTCCTATGGTTATAGGACAACTCACTCCTCTTGTTTCTCTCTGATTATCACCATGAGGAGAGATGATTTTTTCCACCACACCCTTCCTCCATAATGTTTCTGCCTTGGACTCAGCTGACTAAGTACCTAAATCCATGAAACTGTGAACCAAAATAAGTCTTTCTTCTTCCAAGTTGTTTTTCTCAGGTAAAGTAACACAAGAGGATCAACACACCATTCTATTGAGAGAGACAATTTTAAAATAATCATAAGTCAATAAAATACAGAGTGTCTCAGATGTGATAAATGCAGAATAGGTGGAAGACGGTGAAGACGTTACTGAGGGAAACCCTCTGAGACAGAATAATCATAGAATCTACCTCACAGAGTTGTGATCTGCAGAAGTGAGTCAACGTGTGTAAACTTGAAGCATGTCATTAGCAATCACTCAACAAATGTTACTTACTGTTTCCACCCACATTTTTTTTTCTCAGGCAAGATGTCTTGGCTTCATTTATGATGCATTTTATTTACTTTTCTGGGATTCCATCACTCCAGTGCATGTTGGATCACTTTATTATCTTTCTTGACAATTTTTTAAATACTAAAGTTCCTACCATTATAGAAAAACTCACTTGTATCTCTCTCAACCCCCATGGAATCACCCTCTATCCCTGGCTTCTTTTGGAAGGAGCAGTTTTATTACTGTGCAATAGGACTGCTGGCCCCTGAGCACTGGGCATGAGTTCTTAACCCCACGTTTAAGTATCTAGTCCCACTAGGAGGAAGGCCCTGTGTCTCTTGTCCTGGTCTGTCCCACTGTGCCTTGTTCTCTGGCTGAGCTCAGTATTTCTTTCAGACGCCTTCTGCCACATCCCTGCCTGCCTCCTGCCCCTGGCCACTCATGACTTCACTTTGTGCTTCACATTCCACACTCATATGGCAACACCCATTAGACCATGATGTAGGAGTATATATTCTCAGCCTCCCCAGCTGCTCTGAGGCATCAGGGAGCAGGGACCTTCTATTTTCTTCTTTGTGGACCCGACAGTTAGCATAGTGTGAGGTATATAGCTGGCTGTTAATAAAAGTTGCCAAATGTTCAAATGAATAGGGAAGGTCAAGTAGGTTCACTTCTAAGATTATGTGCTTTTAAGCAAAATTAAAACAATGTATGAAAAGTTAGGCAAAATTGACATTTATTGTATTTAAATTTGGAAATTTTAGTTTTATTCATAATTCACATAAGCAGCTGGTATAGGCTTTGTGTGTCTGTGGGTGTGCACATGTGGTGCTGGGGATTGAAACTAGGATCTCATGAATACTAGGCAAAGTGCTCCACTACTGGGCTACATGTCCAGCCCTTTAAAATTTTT